GGTAGATTTCTAATTAATTTGATATTTGTTCTTCAATACTTTAATAATTGATCCTATAGCAAGGCCCTTTTCAGTTTTCTAATTAAAGTCCTACTTTGATCAAAAGCATTCTTTGAATTCAGTGAAGACAGAAATAGAAATTGACAGTTATGGAGTGACTGTTATATATCAGATATTATACTACATATGGTCCTACAAATCATCTTATTCAAGCAATTGTATTAAGAACGGGGGCAATGAGGTTTGAGAAGGCTGGGGAACTTGCCCGTCTGTACAGCTAGTAAATAAATATTAGCTCTGAGATATACACGTGGTTTCCTGATTTACGCCCCACACTTTGTTTACTGCCTGACACTGCATTTTAAAACAATAAACTAGTACCTGTCCTATAATGTTAGTTGGAAGTATTACACATGTCAGTAATCTACTATTCCCTTTGTGGGACGACTCTTTTTGGAGATTTTTGATAACTCTTTATATGCCTGGTCAAAAAAAGCCTTCTTCAATACCTCATATTGAAATTTAAATGCATTTCCTTCTTTAGAATGGCCAATGAAGGAGGCCTTAACTGGTCCCAATATTCTCCTGTTGTGTGTTCTATATATACTCTTCCTGTACCTTCACTTTATAATTTTTAAGACTGTGATTGAATCTGAATCAGGATATCAAAAGCTCAGCTACACTTAAAATTCTTTGTTGCAGATTTTCAATTATCTGGATATTAAAAAATATCTGGGGGGAAAATCAGTAGCCTGTTTCTGTTTTAATGAAAATAGTTGTTATGCCATAATCATAGTCTTCTTTCACCTTTTTCTATGTTGAATTCAACTTGTGACTAATACTTAGTTCACTGTCTTGGTACTGTTTAAAAACAAAACAAAACAATACTCCCTGACCTTGAGCCATACTGCCTGTAAGGTATTCATTGGCAGTCAACCAAAGAGAGCAGCTGGAGATCCTGCCTTGTGCCTTACATGCACTATGCTGTTTAATCCTCACAACAACACAATGAGATCTGTACTATTATTATTCCTGTTTTTACAAATGAGGAAACTAAGAGGTTAAGTAGCTGGCCCAGGGTCATGGTACCAAGAAAAATGGTGGAGCCAAGTTTCTAAACCAGATGGCTTTGACTGGAGATTGAGCTCTTAACCACTGTGCCTCTCTTGCATAAGAGGAACACAGGGAAGCAATGCCCCCGGCCCTACAAAACAACGCAAGGTATTAAAGTAAGAATAAGGTCACTAGAATCAGGTTGGCATCAGAACACTTCAGGGACAAGATTTTGAGCAAGGCATCAAAGCAGGGTGGGATTTAATTGGCCCAGCTGAAAGCTGGGGCATCATGATAGACAAGAATGGCCAGGGCTTGTTGAGTGGGTAAGAAACAGCATCACGCCGAAACCGGTTTGGCTCAGAGGATAGAGCGTCGGCCTGCGGACTGAAGGGTCCCGGGTTCGATTCCGGTCGGGGGCATGTGCCTGGGTTGTGGGCACATCCCCAGTGGGAGATGTGCAGGAGGCAGCTGATCGATGTTTCTAACTCTCTGTCTCTCTCCCTTCCTCTCTGTAAAAAATCAATAAAATATATTTTAAAAAGAAAAAAAAAAGAAAAAAAAGAAACAGCATCAGCCTAATGGACAAGGGTGGGTAATTTTTAATAGATTCTTATCTACTTCAGTCTCCTCATTTCCTTCTGGTTTTTCTTAAGAATAAAACAGCCTGGCCAGTGTGGCTCAGTGGTTGAGCATCGACCTATGAACCAGGAGGTCACGGTTCAATTCCCAGTCAGGACAAAGGCCGAGGTTGTGGGCTCCATCCCCAGTAGGGGGGGTGCAGGAGGCAGCCAATTAATGATTCTTTCTCATCACTGATGTTTCTATCTCTCTTTCTCTTCCCTCTTCTCCGAAATCAATAAAAATATATTTTTTAAAAAGATTAAACAAAATGCAAATACCAACTGTAACATAATATAGCAACCAGATATGCATAAAATAGAAACACCAATGTATTCAATTAAGGTAAATAATACAATTTTTAGTTACTGACTGAGGTCTTTTTCTCCTTCCTGGTGTACTATAACTGGCCTCCCCATTTTATATCTGATAATTTTCCTTACCTGAATTTAAATCAAACTGTTTGAATTGTGTTAATAGTTATTCCTTATTTTGATTGAATGAGAAGATTTTCTTCTTTTCCCAACCTTACTATTGACTTCTGGAAGTCTGTAATGAATATATGGCAAATACGTTATAGTACAGGAAGCCCAAACTTATTAATGGGCTGTGTTCCAGTAAATTAGTTGTTTGGAAACTGGAATTTATTTTCCCATGGAAATAGTGGCTAAGTTCCCGGAGGACCTATAAAAGCTTGCTTCACCAGGAATGTGACAGAAATGAACGCTGTCACCTTTGTGTTGCACTCTGCCTATTATTCTGGGGCTCTATGGATTTCTCTTCTTACTACAATGTGTTAGCTAACCACCTCTTGGGACACAGATTTTTTCATTATAAATTATGGAAAAAGCTATCACTTATAATTCTACCCAGATCCAATCTTTAATACTGCTTCAGGGTGTTTCTTTCCACTAATCATTACTTAAAACATGACTTCAGGTGGAAAGTTGTTTTCCTTAGCCGACAATCAGGAGTCAGAAGAGTGGCCCAAGAATGCTCATAGCCTACCCAGTGGTTGGCAAACTGCGGCTCGCGAGCCACGTGCGGCTCTTTGGCACCCTGAGTGTGGTTCTTCCACAAAATACCACGTGCGGGCGCACATGTACAGTGCGATTGAAACTTCGTGGCCCATGTGCAGAAGTCGATATTTTGTGGAAGAGCCACACTCAAGGGGCCAAAGAGCCGCATGTGGCTCGCGAGCCGCAGTTTGCCAACCACTGGGTAGGCTATGACATCACCTTCTCTGCCTGCACCAGGAGGAGAAGGCAGTGAAATGGCACCAGGGACATGTCTTGCCCCTGCTGCTGCCCGTGACCATCTGGTACCTAGGGGTATCTTTTGGCCTATGTGGGGATTTAAAAATAAAAGACTTTCTTGGTTTCTAACTTGGCATCAGGTAATAGTCCCCAGGTTTTAGTGCCTGCCCCATGTTAGAACTTGGGGGATTACCCGATCATGTGTGTTTTGACTATAGTTGAATCCATATTACAGAAAATTCACACTTAAATAATCTGAAGCTACGATGTGGATATCTGCCAAATACGCTTGTCTCAGAAGCATTTCCTTGCAGGGCACAGTAACCACAATAAAACCAAAACCTTTGTTTTAGATAGAAACATTACCAGCAAATGTTTCCAAAGCAGAAATACTTAAAGTGAAAAAAAATTTGTCTATGGCCATCATAGCAGTGTGGTTTTTAAAAACTTTAGCTTCTACACACATTTCACTTCTAACTTTTTTACCTCGTTGGGAATTTTTTTACACTAGCGAGGGATTCTTTGCATGACTTTTGAGTCTGCCTTTAGAAATGTCAGAAAAAGCATTTGTATAACTAGCGAAGGTTTATATTTACAACCCTAGTCCTCCAAAAGACAAGCAAAACCCCCACTGAATTTGTACAGCCATGTCTGCTGTCAGTGTCTTTTTTAAACACTTGGTGATGTGTCAGTAAACATTTGCCATAAAGACAGTGCATTTCAATTGAAAAATACATTTTTTTTTTTTTTTGCATCCTCAAAACAATGGATAGACTTAGATATTAGACTTCATCAAGATGAAATAGGCCACTGGTTGGGACTAACGAACGAAGAGGGTTCCAGCTGCTGGGTGCTCAGTTTGTTCTTGGCAAAGAACACACGGCAGGAATTTAGCATTTCCAGGCACCTTGGAGAGCCTAGAGCGGGAGGAAGTTTTGAAATCTTACTGGAAAGCTTTAGAGCCAAGTAGGTCTACACTACTTGAAAGTGAAGACAGTTATCTCAACTGTGTTTAAAAGGAGAAAGAGAAAGGAGGAGGAAAGAAAGAAAAAATAATACTCTTGGGGGAATCAAATGAGAGCACATGCATAAAAGTGCCCAGTGAGGTTACCAAGATGCATTAGCTCCTCAATAACGTTAGCCAAATTTGAGTACTGGGAATTTTATTGGGCAAACAGGATTATTTAAGCTCAATTATGTCAGTAGTTTTGTTAGCACCTGCAGCTTCTAGGAATTATAGAGACATCGTACCTGCAATGAGTTCAATTACCAACTGAAATACACACTGACCAATCAAATTCACCAATCCTATATAATAAAGAGCTAATATGCTAATTAGACCGGTAGATGAACGGACCTTCTGACCAGTGTGGGGAGGAGGGGCCTGCAGCAGCTGGAGCTGCTAGGAGGGCTGAGCCCCTTGCACGAATTTCCTGCATCAGTCCTCTAGTATTGCAAATGAAGTGGGATTTCTTTCTCGGTTGGGTTATAATTCCTTAAGTCTTGGCTACTTAGCTCAGATGGTGGATAAACATTATGGACCACAACCATGTACAAGTCAAGCTTTATAAAGAGAAAGACATTGAAACGCTAAGATTATGTACGATATCCCTATCCCCGATACACATCATATAAACAAGTTTATTGGTCACTAGATAGATTGCATAAATGGGTGCAGCCAGCACAAACACATGTAAATTTCCTAAAAAAATTCAAAGCATTATCTATAAAGTCACGTCATGTTCAAGGAACAAGTTGTTCAAAACACGTTTTTCAAGACCCTTAGAGTTCTACGTTAGGAGAAGTAATTTCCTTGTTATGACAAATATGTTTGATCTCCAAATGCTTAAAAGATTTGTAAGTTGAACAGAACTTCACAACCCAAGTTTCCAAGATGATAAAACTCAGTTAATTTTAATTACTTTAGATTTTCCTACCAGAGAAAGAAAAAAAACCCCACAAAAGAACACCTCAACTATTCAGCTACACTGGCATTAGGGGGGAAAACTTAGATGATAAAGATGGGGGTCAACATGAAAATACCACGATACATGCATTACTTGAACTTACTTTAAAATTCTAAATTTGTGAGCTCAAAACATAAACATGTTGAAGTGGAGTCATCAGTTATTTCTTAATGCACTGTAATAAATTTAAAATGCAAGAGATTCAAGGCAGTCAGATTACAAATCAATTCCCATTAGGTTAGTCAACATGTGTCAGAAAAATAACTAAGTATAAGACTCCCCATGACCTGTAGAACAAACCAAATGATCCTCTGGTTATTTTCTAAGATTCTCCTCTTTCTCACAAACATAGGAAAGTATCTCTGCAATTCACTCTCCCCCGTCAGAGTTCTATGGGAAGTGTTGCAAGTGGGCATCACCTTCCTCTCTCACCACTGCGCTAGCTATACCTCGGCTCCCGGGAACTCGGATGCTATTCATCTAAGCTTTGCTAATTAAAAAAAAGATTGATGACATCCACCATCCACCGAAACACATTAAAAGTAATTTATACAGCCCGGCAGCACACTGGAAGTCCTGAGCAGACATTTCAACTCCAACAAAAAGACACCGCTCGCTTCTGTGACACAACAGAAAGTGGACAGCAACATGTGTCATGCACCCAAGATTTACGCCTTACCAAAAATAAATAAATAAATAAATAAATCTAAATAAATTAAACATTTTTTTTAAATGCCTAGCGATAATGAATTCTTCATAAGTCATTCTACTTAAAACCTAAAGCTGGTCATCAGAATCTATTTCCAGTTTTACAGTAACCTTTCTTCCTGGCAAGGCCATAACAGAATGAGGTTTCCAGGAACGTGGTCACTTACACCACAGCTGCACCTGACCGCTGGTGATCTCTGCCTTGGTGCGCACGTGGGGTTTGCACATCTGCATCCTGCCTTCCTGGACCGTCCGTCAGGTTCTACTTACGTGGCTTTGGGAAAAGGAGACAAAACACCCCTTTGCAATCAATCGCCTTTCGGCAATCCCAGTTTTGGAGGGAGCGATAGACAACACAACATTTTCCATATCACACAGAGAAACAACTCTCTCCATAAAAACATATAAATACACAGACTGACAAATAGAGACCAGGTGGCCTCGAAGTCCCTTGAAGTACCCATGTATCGACGGACCACCAGACACTGACCTCAGATCTGTAACGGAGGGGAAGAAAAAAAAAAAAAAACCATGATGAGCCTGAAAAAAATAAAATAAAAATAAAAAAATGTAACCTACCACCGTCACCGACACGGAAAACAGAACACAATCACCACCGGGAACCCGGGGTCCTGTCAAGATCTCTCTCCACCAGAAGATGCAGGCGCACTGCCCCCCGGGTGCCCAGGAGCGCGTCTCTCGAGCAGCAGCTCCCCCCGTCGCGGGCCCGCTCTGCCCCCGGGCGCCGGCGTGGACGGCCGGGGGGCGCCTTCCCCCCGAGATGAGAAGTCGGAATCGGTGCTCTCTCGGGCGCGGGTGCGCTCGTCCCCCCGGCCCCCCTTCCCCGGCCGCCAAGATGGTAGGAAAGTTGTCGTTTCGGGGGCCGGGAGCGCGGTCTGGTGCTATGTCCTCGCGGTGCCGATAGTGGTGCTGTAGGAGGCTGCCGCCTCTCGTAGCGCAGCCGGCAGCCCTGCCTCCTGGCTGGAGAGGACATTCAGGGATTTCCCCTTCATGATCGCCGGCCCCGGGAGCACTTTTCAGTTTCCAAAATAAAAATATGATCCTCGCCCCTCTCGCCTGACAGGGACAGGCTCGCGCCGGAGCCCAGGGGGGAGCGGCAGCAGCGCCGCCGAGCTTCCGCGTCCATCGCCAGCGCCTCGCACTCGCATCCGTCAGCCGGGCCGAGGAAACGGGGGGGAAGGAGGGGGGAAAAAAGCAGCTGAAAGGTAAGCAGAGGCGGCCCCAGGCCCGGCCCACATCCCCGGGCTCCCGTAGGGCGGCGGGCTGGGCCGCGCGGGCAGGGCGGGCGGCGAGCGCGCGTACGTGAGGCCGGGGCTTGGCCGGCCCGCGCCGGGCCCGGGACGGAGAATGAAAGGGTGAGGGGGGCCGGCGCCGGGGCGGCGGGGCAGGGGGCCGGGGGGTCTGGGGGGGTGCCCGCGGGCGGGGACGGCGGGGGGCGGACCGGGTCCCGCGGGGCCGGAGCGGAGCGAGCGGCGCGGCCTGCGGGCCGGGGTGGGGTGCGGGGCGGGGGTGCCGGCTAGGCCTCGGGCCGGCGGGCCCCGCGGCGACCGCGCCCTGCCCCGCACCCGGGCTCCCCGCGCCCCGGCGGGTCCCCGCGGCCTCCGGGCGGGACGGCGGCGCTGTGGGGCCGGGACCGGCGCCGGCCGGAGCCCCCCGTGGGCGGCTAGGCCCGGGCGGCCGGGACGGGGCGCTGGGGCCTAGGAGTGGGGAGCGGCGCCCCCCTCCCCCGGCCCCCCGCCGGCGCCCCCGCCCCCGCCCCCACCCGGGGAGCGCGCGGTGTGCTCGGCCCCCTCCTCCGCGCCCGCGGCCTGGCGGGGCGGGGCGGGCGGCCTGGCGGGCGTGGGGTGGGGTGGCGGGGCGGCGAGGAGTCAGGTGCAGCCGCGGCCCGGAAAGTTTCCTTTTAGGCCCGAATGGGGGGCGGCCCTCCTCGCGGGGAGCCCTGACGCTAGCGCTCGCGACCCCCGCGGGAGCGGGGAGAGCTCGCGGCGATTTGGAAACTCTGGGCCAGTTCCCGTCGGCGAAGGTACTGCGCCCCGCGCCCCACCCCGCGCCCCGCGCGCCCCGCCGGGCGGCCGCCTCCAGCCCAGCCCCGGGCGCCCGGCGCGTGAGGGCCTCGCCGCCCCGTTCGGAAAAGTTTCCCGAGGATTTTCCCGGCTCCGTCGTGAGCGCCGGGGCCGGGGCGCCGGGGCGGGAGGCGGTGAGTTCAGGTGGGCTTGCTGTGGGCGCGGGCGGGACCCCGGACACCCGGGCGGGTACTTGGCGATCTGGCAGCCCCCCCCCCCCGCACACACACCCCCTTGCACCCCGGATTCCTTCGGGTCTGCGGCCCCGCGGGAGGGCGTGGGCGGCGAGGACCCCGTCGAGGAGCGGGGCTGGGTTTCTGCCGCCGCCCCCGGAGGTGGGAGTTTCCCGTCCTGTGTGGTCACTGTCCGGGGAGCCGAACACGTGAACAGCCGGGGGGGGGGGGCTGGTTGTCAGCACGCGTGGGAGCAGGAGAAACGGGGAGGTAGGGGAGGTGGGCAGGGCACCTCTGCAACCCGGCGCGGGGATCCGCAGGGGTTTATTCGGAGAACTGTTTGCATTCAGGGGATCCCTCCTGTCTGACCCCAGCGATAGGAAAGTGGGGGTTTTAAGGGCATTTGCGATCGCTGCAGCTCGCAGGGGTCTGCGGGAGAGCCCTCGGGGAACGCAGCCTCGCCGATACCGGGCTTTCTCCTCTTTCTTTCCGTTTAAACGGGTTCAGTGTTAGCTGTATTTTGGTGCCCTGGGCTTTGAAAGGGTTTAGTTGTTGTTTGTTTGTTTGTCTTTTAGTTGAAAACTTACATTCCCAAATCTAGATGTCCTGGTTTTCTGGGATGGGATGCTTCCTGTGCTGCACTTAGCCGCCTTCTGGGGGTTCTTTGGTATGGAAGTTGGGATGCTAATGCCCCCTGCCCCCCTCGGCCCGCCTCCGGGATGGGCAGGTGGGGAGAGGTGCTTTTTCCTCTTTTCGTTTGTTCCTCCCTCCCCCCACCCCCCATCCCCACCTCCTGCCCTTTGTGGTGGACCCAGGGCAGGATGCTGGGTGGGTGGGTGCGCGTGTGCGTCCTGCCGGGTGTCGGGCTGGAGTTGGCTGGCAGGGGGGTGCCACCTTCTGACCACCCGCCCCCAGAGCACTGGTACCCGGGAGAAGGGGCCGCGCAGAGCAGGGGATGGATGGCCCAGGACCTGGGCAGGCGGACTTCTGTCAGGATGGAAGTGTGAGGCTCTCCTGTGAGTCCTACCGTGTCCTTTCCTTTTGTCTGCCTAGAATAAAACTACTTCTGTTTTTTCCACAGCGATACACATCCAGCCATTTAGCATTGTTCTTAAGAAAGGCGTGATATTCGAGATGATATGGATTGCGTACAAGACATGCAAATTACATTTAATGGTTGTTTAACTTTATTGATTAATTGAAATTGCTTATTGACTTGGACGTTTTTATGTACTTGTGTACCCAAAATGGTTACTTCTGTTGTAGTTTGGCCTTTTCAGAGCATATTGGTTGGAAGAAATCACTCAATGAGCCTCTTAGCACAACATTTTAAGGTTTTAAAAAAAAGCCCCTTTGCCTCATAATCCAATATTTGAAAGATATAGGTTTAACTTCACATTCCTAAGCTTTAAAAAACTATATGGACAAATCCCAAAAGTTTTGTACTTTTTCTACCCTGTTCCAAAATATGTTAATTTCTTAATTGCCTCAAGGACTACTTTATTCCTGAAGAAATGGTGGGGTTTATTTTCAAAAGCTACATTTTATTTGAAACGAATAAGAGACTTCAGGGCAAATACGGAATTAATTTTAAATTGCTAAGGTGAGATACTTTTTTACTCTTAAATATTTCCAAAAATAAATATTTATTTTGATTTATAAATCTGAAAGGATCAATTTTTCTTTCCTCTGGAAGATTGTAGAAGGAAATTTGAATACCACACCCCCAACTATTTTTCTCAGCAAATCATGTCACTGCTGTTCTTAGAGAAATGAAATTTTGATTTTGATGGATTTTAAAACTTGTAAGTCATTAAGTCATTAAAAAAAAAAAAGCTGATCCATTCATTCTTATCTGAGATGTTCCCCCAGGGTGAGCAGCTCTCACTATCCAGGTTGGGAACAATAGTTATGGATATTGAGAGGCCATTTATTTCTGGATACAATCAACAGTCCCTTGGTCTTGTAGCCCAGGCTCCCCTCCACACACACTTAGAAACTTGTAAGCAATAGGTAGATAGGTGAGAATGGGTTGGAAGCAGCAAATTGTCCCCAAAAGCAGATACTCCACTGCGTATACAATGGAGTCACATCCAAGCCCATTTAATTTATGCTAATGTAACTCTGTTTGTCCCAGAGCTCTGACTGTAATGCTGATTTTAGACAATACTTCTGGCTATTTTGAGACACGTGTAAAGATACTCTGCACTAAAACTTCAAATTAAAATCTACAGCCTCTCTTTTCCCTCCTTGCACTAAAGATGCCAGGCTACTAGGTTCTGATGGTTTTTAAGACAGCTCTTCAGTTCAAAAAATTTTTCTTCAGTTCATTTTTATGTGTAGCATGACATCCCACAGTCAGACAGAAATTTGGACTGGGCTTTGGGTTCTCATCGCAGCGCTTCCAGTGGTTGGGTTTGTTCATCTGTAAAATAGAAATACCTTTTTTTGAGGTAAGGATTAGATGAGATAGCCCATGTGCTTGGCTCTTAGCTGGTGCTCTTTAAATATTAATTCCTGAGCCCACCTTACCTTTCTGTTAGCGCCATCTAAAAACCGTTTCTCTTATTTGTTTGCTTTTTTTCTGGCTAAAAGTAATAAATTCTCATATTCATTCCACTCAGATTTACCCCAGGAGATAACCATTGTTAACATGTTGTGTTTTGTTTTGTGTGATTGTGTGTGCATACAACATAAACATAATCTTAGGATTTTCCATTTAACAGTGTTGTGTAGTTTTTTGTTGGTTAAAGCTTGGGCTCTGGAGTTAAACTGGCCTTGAATCCTACCTTTGTGATTTGGACAAATTACTTAATCTCATTCTCAGTTTTTTCATCTGTGAGAGAAGGTGATGATAATACCTTCTTCATAGGGTTGCTGTGATGATTAAATGAGGAATTGCACAGAAAGCCCTTCGAGTGGTGCCTGGTGCAGGACCTTTAGCTAGCGTTTTCCTCTAAAGAGTTTCAATACTTTCCATGTGATTTTTTTTTCAGTCTGAATGAGTTCTTGAT